AGGGAGAAGAAGGAAATTGGAGGGGGGAAGAAGGAAATTGGAGAGGGAGGAGGGAAGAAGGAAACTGGAGAGGGAGGGGGAGAAGAAGGAAATTGGAGAGGGAGGGGGGAAGAAGGAAATTGGAGAGGGAGGGGGAGAAGAAGGAAATTGGAGAGAGGGGGAGAAGAATAGGAGAGGGGGGAGAGAAGGAAACTGAGGAGAGGGAGGGGAGCAGACATGAAATTGAGGGAGGGGAGAAGGAAATTGATAGGGAAGGGGGAGGGGGAGAAGGAAATTGTCGGTGGTTGAGGGGGAGAAGGAAATTGACGGGGGGAAGGGGGAGAGATTGACATCCATCACACACACACACAAAATGCACCCCTTGCACACAGAAAAACACACAATGCATTACACCCAGACACACATACACAAGCAATGCATCCCTTACACACAGCAACACACAATGCACCCCTTACACACACTCAATGCATCCCTTACAGACGCACATACTGCATCCCATACATACACAAACTCACCTTGTAGCCCTTACACATACAAACACAGATTCACACAATGCATTCCTTACACACATCAGGACATCCCCCCCACACACACTCCACCCCCTGAGAACAAACTCATTGGTGGAACATGAAGGTGGACCCTGGGACCCAGACCTTGAGCTGTGTAAAGGGCCCTCAAAAAAATGGAGCTGTTTCCCGTTCTCCCAGAACATTGATTTTTGTGACCACAGTTACAAACCGCCTCCAGAGAGTCTGTTCTACACCAGACCAGTGGAGCCAGACGGCAGCTAGAGCCCATCATCATCCTCATCTGGTTGTATGTAGGCAATCTAGTATATTATTCGTGGCACTAAGCTCTAATTTACCTCAAATTAAAGGGACACTATAGTCCCCAGAACCACTGCAGCTTAATGTTGTGGTTCTGGTGTCTAGCCTGTCCCTGCAGGCCTTTTAATGTAAACACGGCGGCACTGCAGCACTGGTGTTAGTTAACATGGCAGATCAAATGGGTGGGGCATTGTGATGTCACATGGGGGGCGGCAAACTTTACTTTTGCCTAGGGCGGCAAAAATCCTTGCACCGGCCCTGCAGACACCGCATCCCTGCCGTGGCGGACCTCGGGGGCAGCACTTTGGGCGGACTCGGGTGCAGGCACCAGGGGGCCCAGACCTTGAACTGTGTTAGGGGCCCCAAAATTTCTGATGGCAGCCCTGATTATGCGTTATGCACATTTATTGTCACGAACTGTCACTTTAATGCACTTTACTTTGCTTTGCACTTTATAACGTCATGACTTTTGCATTGCTATGCAATCTTAATAATGGGATTGTCTTAATTAGTTACAATTTCCTCTCACATGTACTTGTCACACTATTTACACACTAACCAAATGAAGATTATCCCAAGATTCTCTTTTGAATATGCATCTAGGAGCAAGGAATCATGGGGAATAATGAGCACAAAGCATTTCAGGAAGAGGGTGGTGCCTAGGGTTGCCATGCCCAGCATGTTTGTCTCCACAGTTACCAGAGCAAGAAATATGTTTTGCTGTACTTTGTAGAATCCAGATGTTGCTGTATGAAATTAGAGGAACATACCAAGCACCATAGCCACCATGTAAAACTGTAGTGGTTATGGTGCTTGTCAGGAGTGCCCTGGCGCCCTCCATTATAACTAGTGAAAATATTTTTGAATGGTTTGAATTCATACCTGGGGTCCGCCTGTTGGCGCTCTACACCTTTACCAAAATTGGAGAGCCAGTGACTGTTAGACTCCAGGTAAGAAGTCAAACTTTTCAAAATTCTATATCGTATTTCTTTTTATAGTCAATATAGTTATTAAGAATTTAATTCTATTTTTATTCTAATATGGTTACCACATAAAATCTTGGTTTAATAAATTACATAAGCAGGCACAATTGCTGGTACCCAGAGTCATTTCAGAGTCCTGATGTGCACAAATAGTTAAGAGTGGACTTCATTCCGATATTATTAAAACAATCAGATGACAAATAAGGCCAGAGTCAACAGACATTTATTGAATGGAATAGAATTATGTCAAGATAAAATACAGTTACTTAGCTTAGATAGCAAATAAAGCAAAGTCCAACTGGATCTCTAATAAACCACGTCCTCAAGCCATGTGGCCACTAATAAAAGGACTTTTAAAAGAAACATGGTAAAAGATTCCGAGTGAAAGGACATAATGTATAGTCAACCTGCAATAGAGGAGGGAATTCTGGAATAGAGGATGACCCGAATATGATCACTGAATAATATCTGCTGTTACTTTCTAACGACTTTACCAATGTATTTTTTGATTTAATAATAATGGCACTTAAATAGCTTATAAAACGAACTAATGAGTAACCTTTGATTAACAGGGTGTTGGCAAACCCCACTGATTGCTTCATCAGCCTGTAGCTCTGCGCCTCCAGCGTGTGGCTTGGACATTCAGGTGTCTTTCTGGTCTATGAAATCTGAATAGTTGGGCATGTTTCACCCAGCACTGCAAGCATTAAAGTATAGGGCATGGGTCCTCAAACTCCGGTCCCCCAGATGTTGCTGAACTACAACTCCCATGAGTATCCCATGAGTTTGAGGACCCATGGTATAGGGGCTTACTAGCACAGCCATATTTCTTCTCAGAGCTGGAATCTCTGGAACTTTTACTTCAATTATATGCTTTCTGCTAATTAAATCTGTCAAATGAAATACAAGCTGCTGTGATTCATGATGACGTGTATGAGTGCTATTGGGCTCTGCAGATTACAAGGGATGGAGTTCTGTATGCAGTCAAAGTAACTGGTAAAATTAAAGGAAGCGATCTGGGTGCAGTGCCACTGCTATTTTAACACTGAAATTGCAGCTTTTTAGAAACTGCCATATTCCCATTGCCGGGTTAAACACCTCTACTGACTGTCTTTCTGACAGCCACTAGAGGCGCTGTGTATGTGAGAGCTGAGTCAGACAAAGTTCTTAATCAAATGAGAGTAATTTGATTGGTGCAGTGATACATGCGCACCAGCCTTCCAATGACTCTCTATTGGGAACTATTGGATTACCACTCTTGATAATCTCAGCTAACATCTGCCAGGCGCCGCAGAACAGAGACTGGTGTGGTTTTGAAACAAAAGTAAGTAAAATGTTATTTTCACCTCACATGAGGGGTTGGCGGAAAACAAAGTAGGTGTTTGTATTTCTGCCAGAGTATTCCTTTTAATATTTACTCCAACCTTTGTTTTATATGTCCTGTTGGGCCCTATTAGCGTGTCGATCCACCTTTTTTAAGTAACATAGTAACATCCCTTAGTGAGAATATATATAAATATATACAAAAAGGGCTTGGAGTAACTTTTTAAGTATTTTAGAATGAAGGTGGTGGGATAGATGAGGCATGGATAAATGCAGAATGCTGGAAAACATTTATTAAATAAAAAAAAACTAGACAAAATTGAGCTTTCTTAAATATACACTTATGTATTTATTCAAAAAAATGCATAAAGGTTGGTTTTTGCTGGTACCTGGAGAGTCCCTCAAAGAAAATCTTATTAATTTCTAGCGATATTGCTCCTTAGTATTGGCAAGATAACCTTTTCTCCTTTGTTTGAACACCTATTGTACGAGTTAGTAGATAGTGTTACCATGTCAACCACTTTATTACTAAATCATGTGAGTTTAATAAATTGGGATCAGATTAACAGCGTACATTATATACAATCCCTCTCTGGTCAAATAACAGTAATTATTAAATTTGGTTGGTCAATTTGGTTATATCATCTATAACTCAGGTTAGGAGAATTATTAGAAAAGAAAGATGGGAACAGAAGTAAAGATGTCGGGTTGCTGTTAAGGAATGGGGGGTAACCCCTAGTAGCTATAGTAAAGAAAAGAGAAGAGAATAAGCAGAAACATAGAAACCATGGGGTTAAAGGAAATCAGTCCCAAAGGTTCCCTGTAATTGCAATGCAACCCAAAAGAAAATAGTTAAAAAATAACTTTTAATTGATTCCTTCTAAAAAGTCAACGCTTAAATAGTGCTTAAATAGTGGCTAATAAGTATCACACACAAAAATAAAAAAACAAATATAAAAAAACAGAGAGAAAGGAGAATAGTACTAGCAGAATGGCTAGGTAATGCACAAAGCAAGATAGAAAAAAAGAGAGAGGTAGCCTAGTAATACTAGAAGCCATCCAATAGTAACTATTATAAAAAGGTCTAAATTCTATCTTGCTAAAAAAGCCTAGTGTAAAGAGCACTATCTCCTAACTCCCATGAATCACAGGTTAGAGACACCTGCCTAAATGTAGCGAAGTGAAACCTCGATTGAATGTACGCAGAGGTACAGGTCAAATAATAAAAGTAAAGAGAGGGTGGCCTATTAAGGGTGTCCTGAAACGTCTAAACTAGCTGCAGCATAGTCCCCAATCAATCACCAACCACCCGCTCACTAACTAAGCCCGACGCGCGTTTCGCCACAGAGGCTCTTCCAGGGGAACCGACCAGGACGCCGGCCATCGTTTAAATAGACCGCCCTCCTCTAGGATTGGTTGATGTTCGAACCAATCCCGAACGAGGGGGCGGAGTCAAATACCGAAGCCGGTTAACCCCTAGTCACAGAGGAAGCCGGCAGGGACAAATAATGAAATAAACAAATCATTGCAAAAGTAAAATGGGGTATACTTCTGGACAAATAGATTGGATGAAGTAGAATGTGGCTTAAAGCAAATATGTTGTTCTTGAGACATGTATCGTGTTGGAGTAGTGGCCAATTGCGATTGAATACCTGTAAGGTATTGTTCCAATTTCTGTCATAGGTGCCTATGAGTCTGGTAACCCTAGTGGTGGATTGGGTGATCTTAGGAGGTTTGTGTAAGCTCTCAGATCTATCAACACTTTTAGTTCTTTGATAGGCTTTTTTCAGGATACGATTTGAATCTCTGTTTGAGAATTTTAGCTTCTCTTTCAAAGTCTTCTGAGTTGGAACAGTTTCTTTTTACCCTAAGGTATTGGCCATATGGTATATTCGCCTTTACATGAAATGGATGGAAACTATCCCAATGTAATAAACTGTTCGTAGCAGTGGGTTTTCTATATAGTGAGGTGGATACTAATCCATCCACTGACAGAGAGATGGTAAGGTCCAAAAAGACTAAGTGGCTCTCATGGATAACATGAGTAAGTTTAAGATTAATTTGGTTGATGTTCAAAGCATCAACCCAATCTTTGAATGATGCAAAGGAGCCTAACCAGAATATTAGCACATCATCAATGTAGCGAAACCATTTAAAAATTGACGACGTGTACATGGCGTAAGTACTAGTAAACACTATGGTTTCTTCCCACCAACCCAAAAAGAGATTGGCGTAGCTGGGTGCACACGACGAACCCATCGCAGTGCCCCGTAGTTGTAAATAATATTTCCCGTTGAATGTAAAATAGTTGTGTGTAAGTATAAATTGTAATAGGAGCAGGATAAACTCCTGTTCCTGTATGTTAAATGTTTTGGCTTTTTGCAAAAAATAGGCTACTGCGGCTAAACCTTTGTCATGCGGAATATTGTTATACAATGCCACTACGTCCAAACTCGCCAGGGAAGTAAAGGGGGGCACCGTTAGATGTTCCAGGGCCAAAAGTGTCTGTTTCGTGTCCCGTATGTGTGATTTTAAACCTGTTACTAAGGGCTGTAGCAACTTGTCCAAGAATTGGCTGGCTCTCTCCGTTAGGCAATGGTTACCCGAGACAATTGGCCTACCAGGAGGGTTCAGGGAATCTTTATGTATTTTGGGGAGACAGTAAAAGGTGGCTATAGTGATATTGGACTGAGAGACAATAAACCTAAACTCATTCTGAGTAATTACTTGATCTGTCAGGGCTTTTTTTACTAAAGATTGGAGTTCTGCCATATATTTTTTTGTAGGGTCATCTTTGAGTTCCTGATAAGCTATTTCATCCGTAAGATGTTGCATACACATATTGACATATTGATCTCTTTGCATGAGGACAATGTTGCCTCCTTTATCAGATTGTTTAAAGATAACATCTGTTGCTAGTCTAAGTTCTTGTAAAGCCAGTTTCTCTTCTGCTTTAAGATTAGAGATTTGTGATGGTGAAGGAATTTGATTTTCTAGTTCATTGGTACAAAACTGTACAAACAAATCAATACATGGGAATTCCTTCAGGTTGGGAGTAAACCAGCTCGGAGGTTTGAAGTTAGTCAATGAATCTAATGTGTCCTGTTCGGACTGTAAATCCGTAAGTACTTTAAAAAGAGAGGCCTAAATCTTTAAGCTTTTTGAGATTAATCTTTTCATGTAAGGCATGTAAGGCCAATTTACGGCCAAATAAATTTACATCTTTAGCCCAGTCAAATTGATTGTTAATAGGTGTGGGTATAAAAGAAAGGCCCTTTTGAAGAAGTGAAATGTGTCTTTGTTTTAACGTGAATTTGGAAAGGTTTATTATCTTATTGTCCTGTGTTGTCACAGTTATTGGTAGTTGGATTTCTGTGTCTTGTACCCCCACCTGTTCCTGTCCCTTAGCCTTTCCCTTTGTGGTTGTGGCCAATCCTGATCTTAAAAAGTCAGGGAAGAATGAGTCGATCCTACAGTAGAGTCTTGTCTAGGGTTTGTAATGGCAATTTGATCCACTGGGGGATCCAAAAAAGTTATGTTTCTATCTGTATTTTTCAAGATACTTTTAGTTTGCCCTGAAGGTAAGTGTTGATTGAAACGGGTATTCTGCCTTTTTTGATAACGAGGTCTAGAATCTGATTCAGACCATTCAGTCTCATCTAAAGAAGAAAAGCCTTTATTGTATGTTTTATTGATATTAAATTTCCTTTTGTTCTTATTTTTAAAGATGTTTCCTTCTTGAAAGTCCCTAAAGTCCCTTTGAAACTTGTAATGTTTTTTCTGCCTAATATTTCTTTTGAACGTCTCTAGGTTCTTACTCAACTTACTCTCCATAGCTGGAAAGCTGGGTTCTTTATCAAAGGTCCTGATTTTTTTGATCTCAATATCTAATTCACCATTGGTTTTATCCAGATTTTGTTGTTCCAATTGGATTAGAAACTGCATGATTTTGGCCGAACACTCTAAAAGGATAGAGTTCAATTCTGCTAACTGTTCATCAGTCTTAACTTTGTCAGGTAGCAGAATGTCCGGTCTGAGGCCTCTGGGTACCAGTTTTTGTTCAATGTAGTGTCTTAAGCTGGCTAGCTCCCAGAATCCCCTAAGTTGTGTTTGATATAACTTCTGTATTGTAAAAAATGCCTGATTGATATCCTTGGGTTCATTCAGTATGCTCCCCAAGGGTTTATTAGAAAAGACATTATTTACATCTTCTGATGAAAAATCCGGATGCACCACCTGTTCTTCCAGGGAAGAGCCTCTGTTGCGAAACGCGCGTCGGGCTTAGTTAGTGAGCGGGTGGTTGGTGATTGATTGGGGACTATGCTGCAGCTAGTTTAGACGTTTCAGGACACCCTTAATAGACCACCCTCTCTTTACTTTTATTATTTGACCTGTACCTCTGCGTACCTTCAATCGAGGTTTCACTTCGCTACATTTAGGCAGGTGTCTCTAACCTGTGATTCATGGGAGTTAGGAGATAGTGCTCTTTACACTAGGCTTTTTTAGCAAGATAGAATTTAGACCTTTTTATAATAGTTACTATTGGATGGCTTCTAGTATTACTAGGCTACCTCTCTCTTTTTTTCTATCTTGCTTTGTGCATTACCTAGCCATTCTGCTAGTACTATTCTCCTTTCTCTCTGTTTTTTTATTTTTGTGTGTGATACTTATTAGCCACTATTTAAGCGTTGACTTTTTAGAAGGAATCAATTAAAAGTTATTTTTTAACTATTTTCTTTTGGGTTGCATTGCAATTACAGGGAACCTTTGGGACTGATTTCCTTTAACCCCATGGTTTCTCTGTTTCTGCTTATTCTCTTCTCTTTTCTTTACTCAGGTTAGGAGAAACTTGAAAAAAAAACCAGATAAAACAAAAAATATATATGTTCTGGTAAAAATGTATTGTTATTTGATCAATCAAGGATTGCTAACATTTTGATTAATAACAGAACCTGGACCACTGCCGTGCCTTCGGGACTGACTTGTTAACCCCTGATATAGAATATAGAGATCCCTTCTGTGAAAAACCAGGCTCTTATTAAAGGGACACTCCAGACCCCTAGAGCACTTTAGCTTGCTAAAAAGCTTGATGTGTGAAGAGTGTTTCCTATTTTTTTAATTTTGGAAAAAGTACAGATTTCAATAGAAATGTACACTTTTATAAAATATACTGGTATACACCCCCTTGGCTTTCAAGCAGACAACAGGTCCTGTTGCTTCCTGGTTTGGTTAGCTCAATTGAGCTAAACTCGAATGTGGCAGCAATCACTCAGCGCACATGCCTTGCAAAGTCGTCTCAATGAGCTGCATTTGGAAGTCTCTAATTGGACCGCCACGGAAAGTCTGGATGGGGTTGGAAGTTGAGGGCTTGCAAAGGCAGCAAAGAAAAGATCTTCAGTTTTTGCAAACTGTTTTTATATATAACTCCAATGGAAAAAAAAACATAATTAAATGCATGCAAGTTTTCATTTGGGGTATATCCACTAAAAAGTTATTTTTATTTATTTTGCATTTGTGCAGTGGAGTGTCCCTTTAATACACGATTCTAAGAAGGAAATACCTGACCTTTACATGTCCTGCCCCCCAAGCTTTACACAAAAGTCCTTAAAATAGTAATAATACAATCACTGTACACAGAAGAACTCCATTCCAAATCAGAGCTTAGTGTGTCTTTCTCAGTGCTAACCTAGCATGAATGTGTAATGATAGAAAAATCTTTACTAAGTCCAACAAACAAAAGTAAACTGCATAGACAATACTGACAAAGCTATAAAGGAACCAACCTATAGTCCAGAAATAATTATTGTTATTTTTGGGGCTATAAGGTTCCCTTTAAAAGGAAGAAAAATGTATATATAGATATATCCACAAAAATATGACAAATCTGGCAACACTAACTGTTATATATTTATTTTGGTGCTTGTAGATAAAAAATAAATTGTTATGGGCAAATGCAAATATTGTATTTCTCAAATTGTGTACTTTGTCTTTAAGAGCTATTGCAAACTGACAAGGTGTTAGAAATGGAACATATTGTTTTTCGTACATGTTTCTTAGAGCAATAACCTTTTACCTATTTTCAGTGCATCATATGTTTCCGCCATTTTGTCCCAGACGAAATACAATAACAATAATGCATAAACAAGCTTCAAGGCTATGCTATGCCTCTTTCAGTAGATAATATACTGTGGTAACCCTAAACAGATAAGATGTTCAGACTTGAAGATGCCATCTTGTTCTAAGTCAGGGAATTTTCCATGACGTGTACATCCTTTAGTTATGGACTTGTATTTTTGCCAAGTTAAGGGAGTTTCTAAAATGAATAAAAGTAAAATAAGTTACTTTTTCATATATGAACTACGGTAACCCTAAAATGAAGACACCTAAGGTATAAATATGTATACCTTTTAAATGTTAACACAGAGAGGAGAGATTTGGAGACAGACGCTCCTGCTTATAATGACAGAGAGGCTGACATGATGACATGTTCCATTGGGTATGTTATTCCATTAATGATATTTGCAAGCATATAGTTTAATCGTAAAAACTCTGCTATAAGTTATTGTAGTGGAATTTATTTGTCTATATTTATATTTTTATTTAATAAAATATCTAAAAAACAAAACTTTATTGCTTAAAAGACAATCCTTATTTTATATTGTATTTTTAATTATTTATATATTTTAAGTAGAGGACCTCTTACTAACTATTTAAAATTATGTCCAAGATATCTGTATGGTTAGCCCTGCTAAGTTCTATGCTTTAAGACGTTATAGTGGTAAATAAGGGAACCAACTGCAGTTACAATCCTTGTTTGTTTTTATAGATCAGAAAAAAGCACATGATCTATCTCAATCATCAGTACTTTGTTTGAGTTAATTAAACGATTAAATGCATCTGGATCAAATATGCAGTTGTTCATGCCTACACAGAATTGAGATTACATGACAGTCAGGGCTGAAATCACATTTTACTATACTATTGAGTATAGTAACATTTATTAAAATGGGATTATATACCACTGACATTTTGACAAGGATTATTTGCCACTGGCATATTTGGTGAGATTAA